GGAGTGAGGTTAGTATATTTAAAATGGATAAATGTAGTATAAAAATATTGTTACTATGCCCATGTTTTGTTGACCTGATACAAATGTTTATCATCCAAAAATATCTGGAGACACAGGTCGCTGCTACTGTTATTTTGTGGGTCAAAAGCTGAAAAGTTTGGGAACCACTGCACTTTGGCTCCCAAAGTTGGGCTTGGGACACAGTTATGGGTCATGAAGCACCTTGGATAATCTCCAGAAATCAATTTTAAGGGCAATAAAATAATTGTTGATGTAACATTTTCCCTGTAACTATTACAAAAACACAAAATAACTATAATTAAGTATTTATATTTGTGTACAAACTGTTTATACTGTCAAAAAGCCTGTGTTTTTAGGGTTATTAATGAAGTTTGTGTACTCAGACCAGTAATATTCGGGGTCACAAGTTTTTGCCGTGGATATTTTKTGGGTCAGAATATAAAAAGTTTGGGAACCACTGCACTAGCTGATATATTTATAGAAATATTCAATAWGGTTCCTTTGAAAGTGATGCATAATTTATAAAAAGATCAATGCTTAACTGCCTTTAAACAAACCTCGAGAGTTCTTTTTAAAATTGACCCTAATGGATAATGGTCAATGGAAGGGCAGCTCTTTGTTCCTTTTATGGCTGAAGCAGCACTAATGTATTATTCATGGGATGGCGAAGAACCTGCACCGCTGCAGGAACTGAGCTCACCTCAAACGGCTGCTGTAATGTGAAGTTCACCGTGCGGCTTGCCATAGTATCGTGCTGTTCCAACACGGACTGTCGGGCTCGGCGCCGGTGTAATCAATCTGAAAAGGATTTGCAGAAATAAACAYAAACAAAATCAACACTACTGATCTTCATGCGGGTATGTTGACATATCGTCAGCAGCAGCTGCCATTTTATTCCTAAACCACCAGATTGTGTGTTCCCTTGTCGTTTTCTCCTGTTACATTATTTCTAYGAATTTCAAACTTTGTTGATGCCGAGTAGTTAGCTGCGGATTTGCTTTCAAGTTTTTCTTTTCTGCATTTTGAAGAGCCACTAAAGGGCTTGGTTAAAACCCTAACAGAATGGGTGTGTCCTCTGTTTCGTCACTGTCACGTTACATCCCCTTATTGGTTCTGCTACTTCCGGATTCTTCCTCTCGATCGAAATCCACAACAGACGAAACCAACACCACAATGAATCGGTATTTCGATTAGACTGCGGGAGAGTTACTCTCCCCAAATTACTTTGTGTTTTTCCAAACTGATTGCCTCCAGTTTCGCCGTGAAGAATTCCCCGAGCAACCGTCGTCTGTCAAAAGTCGAGGATTAGTTTGCTCGGAGCGAATAGCAGCCATGATGGCGTCTAGCTACAACGCTAAGGAAGAGGTGGACGGACACCACCCGGGATCTTCGAATCACGGTGGGACTGGACCCATCAACAGCAAAAAACCCGACAACACGGCGTTCAAACAGCAGAGACTACCAGCTTGGCAGCCCATCCTGACAGCAGGCACCGTGCTGCCAGCTTTCTTCGTTATCGGCCTCATCTTCATCCCCATCGGTATCGGCTTGTATGTGACCTCGAACAACATTAAAGAGTTCGAGGTACGTTTAATGTCCGTTTCCTTTGATCATAATTAACTTGATCCAGACATTTCTACACTTTAACCTTTTAAAAACACGGTACCAAAGTTGGAGTTATTTAAATTCTAGAATAATAGCTTTAAAGCATTGCTAAATGAGTTTATTATTAGTAGCATTTCAACWACATCCGGGTACTTTTTAAATGTTAGTGTTAGTTACAACCAGCGTTAGGATAAATCTAGCTTCATCAGCACTATAACTAGCTTGAAAATTCTATGGTTTTGCCCTTTAAATGCCAATATAAATAAATTGATAAAACATTAACAAACCAAAATGAATCTATAATGATTGTTTTCCAACTTGTTTATATAAGGATTGATGTCAAAAAATATCAGACCTATGTCGAATCTTGAATTATTTGTGCTCCTTTTAATGTTCGAGATATTTCCATGCAATTTTAGGAAAAGATCCACATTTAGCATCTTGTATCTTAAAAACATTATAAAACCAAGGGGTCAAAAATACAGTTCTAGATATCTCTAAGGGTTCACCAGAAAAATACTATGTACTTTCAATGAAGTGACTCTTCAAAATGCAGAAATGAAAAACTTGAAAGCAAATCTGCAGCTAACTACTTGGCATCAACAAAGTTTGAAATTCGTAGAAATGATGTAACAGGAGCAAACGACAAGGGAACACTCACAATCTGGTCACAGTGGTTTAGGAATAAAATGGCAGCTGCTGCTGACGATATGTCAACATCCCCGCATGAAGATCAGCAGTGTTGATTTTGTTTGTGTTTATTTCTGCAAATCCTTTTCAGATTGATTACACCGGCGCCGAGCCCAACAGTCCGTGTTACGTCTGCGCCCAGAACTTCAGCTGGAACAGCACGACGCCATGCTTCTGCACGGTGAACTTCACATTACAGCAGCCGTTTGAGGTGAGCTCAGTTCCTGCAGCGGTGCAGGTTCTTCGCCATCCCATGAATAACACATTAGTGCTGCTTCAGCCACAAAAGGAACAAAGAGCTGCCCTTCCATTGACCATTATCCATTAGGGTCAATTTTTAATCTGAAAAAGAACTCTCGAGGTTTGTTTAAAGGCAGTTAAGCATTGATCTTTTTATAAATTATGCATCACTTTCAAAGGAACCTTATTGATTATTTCTATAAATACATCAGCTAGTGCATGAAGTTAATGTCTGTCTTTTAGATGTTACCTYCTAAATTTTGGATTTGATAACAGAAATAAAATTTGTTGAAATTTAAACTACGTTTTCTCTTTGGAGTAGAAAAGGAAGGCAATGTTTTAGAATATTTTCTGGAGTTTATGACTAATTTAGATTTTAGCTAACATGAACTTTAAATTCATTATGTGTTGTTTCTTTTTGCTGCCAGTCCTTTTATAAAATAAAGCTAAGGCCCCATTTAAGATGCTTTTGAGTGAAACCGCAGCATTTTTTGTTGTGATCCAGCCACCCWTTTATTTACACATCACTGGTGATCAGAGTTTCTGTCTCCGACACCTTTTTGAAACCAGTTCTCAGAAGTGTGAAGAACCCCGAAGGTGGGAAAGCGGTCACAAACAACCAGCAGACAGACGATTACATCAGAAGTTTCTTTTAAACTAACAACAATAACAACTAGACATGGGTTTTTACCATGTAAAAACAAGTGTGCATTACCATGTAGCATGTCATTGCCTGCAGCAGTGGACTTGCAGAATGAAATGTGACCAAGTTCAAATGTGTTTTCTACCAACTTGTGCTTGTCAAGTCAGCAGGTGTCTGTAATGAGGGTAATTGTGTAACAATATGAAGTTTGTAGAGATTTTTTGTTAAAGTTGCTGTAACTGGGTTTTGAACCTTGATCTCCCACATGAAAGCCCATAGAGTTAACCATGAGACCATTGGAGCTGTGGTAGAGTGTGGTGGCAGGGGTTGTTTTGTATGTGTGCAGAAAGAGGCCACATTGCCAATGCAATTGTTGACACTAAACTGCAATATATTACAGCAATAGAGCAATATTAGGACAACATTATAGTAAAACATCAAAATACAATCAGATTAGTATTGAAACCACTGAACTATTGAGATTAAATATTATTAAACTATGGTTCAGTACTGAGTAGATGCCGCAAGGGGCAGTATTGGACCAATACAAGGCTCCATTGACTCCCATCATAAATTATTAAACATTAATACAAAATTGTAAGAATGCAGCTGCTGCATGATCAGTGTATGAGTGAGAATGGCATCTGGGTTGCCTGATAAAAACACAAATTTGTTTTTTGCCCCTCTTTTTCTGTGGACATTTTTCACCAAACACAACATATATATCAGCTGTTTGGATTCAAAATATAATAATTTCAGAACAGTAAAACTCTACTGTGTCCCATTCCCAACCTTGCCTGGTACATTACGTCAACAGTTCCATGTAAATGGCTGATTTTTGTTTGTTTATTTGCCCCAATAAACATTWAAAAAACTCCAGCATTTCCAGAGACCAGTGTTGTATAAACAGGACCTAATGCTGACTAGCTGAAGCTGAGAAATACGAAATTACTTTAAATCAAATTATATTATTTACAGAATGTCGCTGTAAAAAAATAGGGCTAAAATAATGTAAACTTTCTGTATCCTGATCTTCCCTTGTTTACAGAACAACATCTATATGTACTACGGCTTGTCCAACTTCTATCAGAACCACAGACGCTACGTGAAGTCCAGAGATGACAAGCAATTGAACGGTGATTCGAAGGCTTTAGAGGTATGTTTTTTTTACTAGACTGTCTCCACATCACGTAAAGAATCCAACAAGTGTATTCTTTTTTTTTGCTGAAATGTATTTTTTAAATTTTCTCAGGAACCAAGCAGTGATTGTGAGCCATACCGTAAGAGTGGGGGAGCGCCCGTTGCACCGTGTGGAGCCATAGCTAACAGCCTTTTTAACGGTGAGGCAATCCAAACACTCTTTTCAAGGATCGATGCTGGTTTGGTGGCGAAATAAAATTGTATTTAATCACATAAATCTTGTGTAAAACCTTTCCAAACTTCTGCTCATTTAACGCCCTTAAAATAGAAATGACAAGCCTTTGCTGTTTCAGACACTCTGGACCTGTCGTATGTTGAAACCAATGGCACCTCGACTCCAATTGAACTGCAGAAGAGCGGCATTGCTTGGTGGACAGACAAGCATGTGAAGTTCAAGAATCCCCCTGGAAGTAACCTAAGTGTTGCTTTTCAAAGTGAGTTTTTCAGATTTCATCGCAGTAAATTATATATTTCTGATCTCKGCGGTTGTACTGACCGACTTGATTTGGTTTTATGTTCTCTTTCAGACACAGTCAAGCCTGTGAACTGGAGGAGGCCGGTGTACGAGTTGGACCCGTCGAATCCCGACAACAACGGGTTTATCAACGAGGACTTGATCGTGTGGATGCGCACGGCCGCTCTGCCCACCTTCCGGAAGCTCTACCGCATTATACCCAAGAAATCGGGCGCCGTCTCAACTCTACCCAGTGGGAGTTACAGCTTGAGAATTGCTTACAGTATCCTTTACAGTCCTGTCATAAACTCGGGTTTATAAGCCATGTTGTGTTCTTTACATGAACCTTTTACAAAACTTCAAAGCTTAAGAAGACCGTCCATCATTAAACAGAGGTGGAGGCCTCCGTTTTCAGTTGTCCCCCTCCAACAGTGCTGCTATTGCCAGTATCACTCCACCCCTGTTAACAATAGGTGTTAATTAGGTGTCAACGATAACCATGTGATGTGAGTATCAGTTACATGGAAGCAGTGCTTAAAAGCCTGAATTTTGCCTGAAACTCTCAGACTGAAGAAGTCTCTTGGAGAAGAGACGAAACGTTTCATTAGAGAAGAACCCGTCCAGAAGACCTATACAATTTTTTTCTTTTTGATTTTTTTACCTGGATTACTGAGATGCATCAGGGCATTCAAAGCTTAAGATTATCTACTGCTCTACTCCAGTGATTCCCAACCAGGGGTACATGTAACCCCTTGGGGTACCCGAGCATATTACAGGGGGTACGTGGGAAAATTCCCCAGGTGTATAAAAATACAAAAATAGGACTGCGATATGTAGTGCCCTATGATTTCCACAATGCAGAAAATGCAAACGAAATCACAAAATTGACACAAAATGGAATTCTGTATAAAACGTGGAATTTGCTCGTTTAGGGTATTTGGACGCTGCCATTACCTGGTTTAATTACTTATTCACTTTCAAGGCATCATATTTATCTTTTGTTTAATTTGAGTTGAAAAGAAAAAAATGCCTGAGAATTAAACGTTCCAGGGGGTTAAATAGATTGTTTTTGTTTAATAATCAGCTGTTGTACATTCTAGTTTTGGAGAATCAGCATCATGTTTGACAGAAGGGGTACAAGCGGTATGACAAAATGGCTCAGGGGTCACAAGTCTAAAAATGTTGGGAACAACTGCTCTACTCCGTTGTTTTTAAATATTCTCCAGATTTTTCTTTAACCTCATATAATCAGATTACCCCGTGCTCAGCTTTGACGGACGCAAGCGGATGATCTTGAGCACCATCTCCTGGATGGGGGGGAAGAACCCCTTCCTGGGCATCGCCTACATCACGGTGGGCTCCATCTGCTTCTTCCTGGGCATCGTTCTGCTCATCATCAACCACAAATACGGCAACCGCAGCAGCAGTGCAGAAATTCCAAACTGAACGGCTCCCGTGTCGTGTTCTCACGTCTCTGCTTGCGCCGCTGACCCTGAAGGGTCTGTTCTGGACTGCCTGTCGGTGTGGATGCACTGTGATCGCAGAAGAGTTCAAGCGTCTCATCGCATAGCTTTTGTTGTTTGTGTGTTGTCGCACGCGTTCCCGTGTGTTTTAGCTCCAAGCTGATTGATAAGCTYGTCACTTTTTTTCGTTGGTTTTTTTTGAATCATTTATTTATCTACGTGTTATCAGATTAGTTTTATTTAAGCAATGCTTGGCTAAAGGCTGTTTTGAAGGTTGTATGTATTCTTGAATGCAAATGTTTGTCCATGTTCTGAAACGTGTCCTGCTGATGAATGTAACATCTTACCTCTGGTTTTTAGGATGACCTTGGTTACAAAATGGTTCATTTTTGCTTGTCTGCTGTTGAAAAACGATAAACATTGATATATAACTGCAAGTATTTAACCCTAGGAGTGACATATTTGACGAAAATATATATTTTACATTTACACTAAGTCTTCAGTAGGAAACATCACATTTAACTGTTAAATTCAGTATTCCTAATTCCAGGACCTTTTGACCATATTTTTTGCAAGTTACATGACATTACATTACATTTAATCATTTTATAGTTTAGTCTGAGTGATAAATCGTCTAACTAGTTGACCAAATAATATGCACTTTACAGGCATCTCATTTGATACTTTAACACCTTGTTTCACCTGATTTTCTTTGTCACATGTTTCAGATTTGATACAGATTTTAAAAAAGCTTATTTCAATTTTAGATTCTTGGGTTTTATAAGGTTTCTGTGGTCCAAATAAAGAAGTCCTTCTTTATGCAGGTGTCATTTCTGATTTGAGTTACACACTTAAAACTTGCTGAGTGAGTGTCGCTCCTTTTATTTCACTTCTGTAGCTAGAGTTTGGGCTATGCTATCTACTAACCTTTCGGGTTTCAATTTCAAACGTTCGTGTTTATTAAACAAACCGATCTCACCAGGTGTTGCTTCTCTGTGTTGGATTAAACACATTAAACTTTATAAGTCCTGTTCTCAGGTGGAATTTCTAAATTCTGAATTTTAATTTCTAGCAACTTTTTCAGCTGAGTCGGACTTTTTTTCAAGATAAACTAACAACATTTAACAGATTGCACACATCTTTCAGTCTCGTATTTATTTCCCAGTTTGACCTCTCCCCTTGTTCCCTGCAGTGTGGCTGTTCGGACACCAGGGGGCAGCACACACCATGTGACTGGAGCCCATGCTGGCCGGCTTGGGGCTGGGGCTCTATACCCTCTGTAGATTTACACTATTGTGAATTGCCATACTTGTTTTTGTTTGAACATGTTGTAATAAATACAGTTTAAATAAAAAAGACTTGGGGCAGAGTCCTAGAGAGAGCTGCGAAACTCTTTCAACTAGCCGACACACACAGTCACGTGGTTAATCAACTATTTAGGGACTATCCGCTCCAGTGGTAAAATTGCATCAGATCTGTGTAATCGGAGCTCATAGTTATTAAATGAAGACTAGAGACTCCACGACGCGCTGAAAGCGCATCTTGCGTCGCCGCCATATTGGATGGGTTTCCTCACTCTAGTTAGGCAAACAGCTTCCCTTAKTATAGTTGAATGCGCTGTTGGCGCAAGGCAGACCCATTCAAGATGGTGGCCACGCTGAACCATCCGGAGGAGCGTCAGGGATATCTGAGTGAACATATGTCTGTGAGTTACGTCACCATCGCCGGGCTCTTCAGATATTAGTGCTCTGTGTCGAAGAGCTAGAGCAAAATGGGGCTGCGGACGGTGCTGTTGGTTTTAAGTGAGTAAAATTTGTCAAAATTATTTATTTTAGAGCTTCTAACCTGCAGGCGAACAGGGTAATAAAAAAAAGAAAAAATAAGCTAATTTTACTTGCAGAATTTACACCAGATTTCTTGTAGGTTGCGTCATTGGTCACGATGATTCAACCAGTGACCAAAATATTAACTGTACGGAAGTAAATTTGACTCACTGAAACGTTTCATCATCGCATCAGTGCTGTGTTTTGGTTACTATTTTGAGCTCCAGTGACGATAAATAGTTCATGGATTTGAGGTTTGTTTAAATGATAACGTCATTCTCACGCTGCTTATCGCGATTCACAGAAGAAAAGATTTAAAAATGGTTATAGTTTACAACAGGTGTCCCCAAACTTTTTCCTGTAAGGGCCACATAACTTTTCCCTTCTCTGGTGGGGGGCCGGAGTCAGTTTGTAAC